GATTTTTCCATAAACTGCACTGAAGGAAGAACTAAAAACCAGTTTCCAGTGTGATGGAAATATTCATCATTATTAGGATGTGTGGGACAGCTGTGTAAACGGCATGTTTTCCCAACAGGCCTTGTGGACCACTCCTAAAAATGAAGGTTAATTCTGTGTTAAAAACAATACAGTTTTATAGCACTGCTGGTTACCCGGCATGCTTTGCGACTGGGGTCAAATCAGAGTGAGTTTGAACTGATTACGCGCTATAGGAATATAGAAGTATGTGAAACGGGTTTAGGGGAATATAAGTCTATAATTCTCACTTGTATTCACACTTATGTGCCATTCTGTAGCATGATATCAATCAAATCAATCTGTAAATTATGAGGTGTTGATATGTTCAAACATATCACATCATGGTATGCTAAATGACAGAATGTAGTACAAAATACAACAGCCAATTAAATTGACATAAAATATTCCACTCTGCCAACTAAAACAGGATGGAACTGTAATTATAGAACTGCAGAATATGCTGACTGTGTCAAAAGCTTCAACACATTCCTTCAGTGTTAAATACGATTTAACCTTTGACTCCACTGCATGGACACCAAGCCTGAAGGAAGTTTTATTTCAGATCTGTCATTTTTTAGGCCTTGAAACAGAGCTTGTTGTCCGTCACAGTATGTGAGATTCTGCCAGTTTTCTCTCTGTGAGAAAGTGATGTATGTGGGTAGAAGATGAGCACACATGGTGGGTAATTAGTCTCGTTGGGTTTGAGTTCAATGACTTACAGATGGCTGGGTGCATCAGTCAGACAAAGCAGAAATGTTTCATTTAATTCTTTCTGTCTTGTCCATTTAGACACTTTTGGCTCTGGTTAATACATACAACTTGAAGCACCTTGAGATAGAATATAAATTTATGGTGTTATTTTAAATGAGTCATCATGATTTGAAAAGTTTCACTCAGAAATATGTATCATTATGCACATAAAAAAGGGGTTGCAAACAGTATTTCACATTGATTAGTGCATCCAACATGGCTGTCAGTCCCCAGATTGTTTATGCATGTCCCATGTGCTTTAGCATGGGCTGTTCTGGGCAAATGTCACGTCTACAGTTTTTTAAAGCAATTTAGCAAAAAAAACAGATGAATGCATTTACTCTTTTTACTTAAAATGTATAATATGTTTTTTTGGTCCCATATGAAATATTTAGTTTTGAAATGTGGGGCATTACCATTGTGAGCAAGCTGATATAAAAAAAAGAGTTGGAGTTTATTAAATCATGGATGATATTCCAGAGAAGCTCTGGGTGTGTCATATTTAGTTACAGCTGCTTTAATTTTTTTGTCCCTAAAGAGTAAATCTGCTCAAGATGCCGAGTTCCTAACTTCATATTCATCACTTTTTTTGGTGGATTTCCAAGTAAGAGAAGTACCACGCCTAACATTTACAGTTTTATCAACATGTAACGTCATTCAAAGCCATTCTGTAATATGACGTATTTCCAGTGAAATATTCATTGTGAAAAAAATGAAGAGCATTTCATTACAGTACTATTATAATTCTGTTTTATCTATCTATCAACATTAGTTTATATAAAAAAATTAATGTATTATATATTTATATCATTTACATTTAACAATTTAGCGTTATATATATTTTATATATATGAAATTGCTAAATATAAAATATATACAAATATAAAACATTAGTGTTTATATATATTTCTTTTTTATTAATAACTCAAATTTAAATATATAATAAATTAAATTTATTGTCTATTGGCACATTTTTATTGCAACATATGCTTCTGAATAAATATCATGCAGTATAAATTCATACTGATCTGTCAGTGATGCTTAATTGTCTACATTAATGTAATGAAATAATATATGCAAGCTAGCAGGAGGGATCGGGATGCAGGATGTTGCCCTTGTTGCACCTTCCTTCCCCCTCCACCCTGCATCATGAACATTCCTCTGTTTTTATTGCTAGAGTACATGCTTTTCTGTATAATGCCTATTCTTATCACAGAAGAAGGTTGTAGATATAAAGATCCCCTAAGTGCTTTCAGATGTTCATTTCTGAGTTCAAAGTTCAGTCTTAAACTTCAGCTTTAAAGTAAGCATGTGTATGTAGCCTACATGTGGAAGAGGGAGGGGAGGGAGTTAAAAAGACGCCCCGCAGACCGCAGCAGGAAACCATATTACTTTGGTTCTCACCAGCTTCCTGTTTCTAACACAGATATTACAGTACAGCTTGCGACACTGTGATTTACTTATTGTTACCCTTGACCTCACACTACTACATATAACCGCATATTATGGAAGCCTGTTTCCACCATGGGATTAAAAAAAAATGAATGAGGTAAATAGCAATTTTTTTATATCACAATTTTTGTCACAATCACAAGGTACAAACTCAGAATTGCAAAATCAGAATTACTGGTAATTCAACTCTAAGAAAAGTCTGAATTGTTAAATATTAACTCATAATAACATAACATGTGACATAAAAAGTCACAATTACTTTTTTTCTGTGACAGGATAAAAACAGAGAAACTGAGAGATTTAAACTCAGAATTTTGAGAAAACTAGTGAACATTACAAGATGTAAACTTGGAAATAAGGAATATAAATTTCTATATCTCTCACAATTCTTAGAACTGAAAAAAAGAAATGTCTGAAATGTGAGATAAAAAGTCACAATTACAGTTTTTATTTTTTTTCATTAAATGGCAGAAACAGGCTTCCTCTATGGATAGTGGCACTAAGGAAAAAGATTCATACGAGACATAAGCAACAGAAGGGGGAAAAATCTTCTTATAAAATTAGTACTAGGTAACTGTTGATTGGGCAACAATATGTAGAAAATACAACAAATATTTATTTATTTATTTACTTATTTGGCAGATACAGTTTTTTTCAGTATGATAAAAATAGCAGTTAACTGGTATTAGAATTTAGAATTTCTCTCTCAACATACATTGTAAATATTATTTTACCTTCAAATGTTATTTTATTTTCAGATGGCTATTTCTGATTACTTACGGAGTACAGAGCACAGTCATAGAGACAGTTGTGATTTCTCAGGACACATTTTTTGCTGATTAGGTAGCAGGGATATTTTATGCGTGGTATTCAAAAGAATCACTTACAGCACTTTTAATCAGATCTTTCCAGTTGTGCTTTGTCAGTTTCTGCCCCATGATCTGCATCAATATGAAATAAGATAGATAGATGGATAGATAGATAGATAGATAGATAGATAGATAGATAGATAGATAGATAGATAGATAGAGGTGAAGAAAGCTGCCACAAAGAACGCTTACTCACAACGCACATATCAGTTAGATAGCAAATGATGATTTATTTGCCACTCTATCTTCTCTTTAATTTGCCGTTCAAATGGACAATTGATGTCTGGCTCTCCAGACCGCCAAAGTGCAGCGCTAGACAGAATCTTCCTACAGCGTTGTAGAACTGAGACCAGACAAAATGTAAATTGGTCATGCTTTTTGCATTTGTTTTGTCTGACCTTTTGTTTTGGGCCATTGTGTTAACATGTGCCAACATTTTGTAAAGGAAATCTACCTAGATTTTTACAGATCATTTAGAGAAGCCACACAATTTCAGGTATAATTCATGTATAATTCAAACAGTTTGGGATGAGTTACGCAATGTATAATACTTAGGACCAAGGGATTTGAAAAACCATATCTTTGAAATGAAAACTGATTCAAAATAGTTTAGGTCTATCAACAGTCTACGTCTAAATTAGAATTCAGAGCTTTATGATGATGATGTAACAGGCTCATATTGAATTAGGTTTATATGGTGGATTGTCCTGCTTCAATGAGCTGATTGCTTTGCAGATGTGCACAGCTGGCCATGTCAGGTCTATCATGATGTTGTTTGACTGAGCAGCTGTAGGCCTATGTATGTGTATGCAGAGGTGCACAAAGAACACAACTCTATAACTTTAGTGAAAGTATAGATACTGCTGGTCAAATATTACTCCGTTACAAGTAAAGGTTGTAAAGACAGATGTTTACTTGAGTAAAAGCACATATGTGCCACATTTGAACTGAGTGGACAGTGAAATTGCTGTAAACAAAGACTGATAAGAAAAAAACCTGCTTGAAAACCCAGCAACACAACTGTAGCTGTACAACTTTACAACAGCAACACTTTAACAAAAAAGCAAAACAGCAAGACATATTTGACATCATGGCTCTGGCGGTACTTTGATATCATACACGGTCTGCATGCACAGAACGATCTGCAGTGCTGCTTAGTCAAACACCTGTGTTTTGTGCACAACAGTTCTTCTGTGTTTTTATTGGTAATATTTTCTTTTACACAATTTTAACCAGTCTCCACCCCCGATCCCTAAACCCACCCATCTCCACCCCTAAACCTACCAGTCTCCACCCCCGATCCCTAAACCCACCCATCTCCACCCCCTAGATGTGGATCCAACCACGCCCCCTGGATCTTGTGTTCTGCAGTGAGGGGCTACTGAAGAAATAGCCAATACATTGTATATGTCAAAATGATCGATTTTTCTTTTATGCCAAAAATCATTAGGACATTAAGTAAAGATCATGTTCCATGAAGATATTGTGTAAATGTCCTACCATAATTATATCAAAACTTAATTATTGATCCGTAATATGCATTGCTAAGAACTTAATTTGGACAATTTTAAAGGCGATTTTCTCAATATTTTGATTTTTTTGCACCCTCAGATTTTCAAATAGTTGTATCTCGGCCAAATATTGTCCTAACAAACCATACATCAATGGAAAGCTTGTTTATTCAGTTTTCAGATGATGTATAAATCTTAATTTCATTTGTTCCCGTGCGCGTTCCCGTCAGCGTCCCTCGGTGAATTTTGTCTGGAGTATAGGGGGCGCGCGCACACCGCTTTGCCACAGGGAGCGCGCACGGAGCGCGATAAGACAAACCAGAGCCGGGAACGCGGAAACAGTACAAGCGATAAACGATAACGATAGAGCTGAGGTGCGTTAACCGGCGACTGCGGGAAAGAGCGACGCTCACCACAGAGACCGCGCTTGAAAGCCCAGTTTCTGGGTGTAACAGATTTACTTTTATTTCAGGTCGTCGGATAAGAATCCCGTTTGGGTGGATAAAACCGAACCAGCGAGGAGAAAGGCGGATTGTTTCTAGATTTTAGTCGGGATTTGAGAATGTCGGGGAGCCGAGAGGAGGAGCGGCGGAAACTCGCCGACATCATCAACCACTGGAACGCCAACCGGCTCGACCTGTTCGAGATCAGCCAACCGACCGAGGTGAGCCCGCGGAGCCGCCAGCGAGCGCAGGCCGCAGCGCTCCTGACTCTCCGCTCCGCGCCGCGAGCTTCATTCCCCCAGCACGCGAGCTTCTTATAGTAAAGAAACGTGGGCATGATCTGTCATAGATTCTCTTGTTGTAACGTACAAGTGGCTCTGGAACGGCTAAATCACGACGGCAGCTTTGTTGTGACTTATCTAATGCATTTTGAGTCAGTTAATGGCAGGTTACGGCTATGTTGGAGAGGTGTAGTGTAAAGCATAAATAGTTTAGGATGGGAAAAAATGCGGACACTTTTGGCTGAGTCCCTGTTGCTGTTCGAAACGTTTCTTACCATGCACCAGCCGGTCATTCACCGGGCTAAAATCGGTGCTTGCTGTTTGTAGCACAGAGCTGCATGCAAAGCTGTCAGATTAGATCTGACCAGCTGCATAATAGTGCTGGATGATGTTGGAGATGAATGTAATAAACATGGTTTGTTAGGTTAGGATGCCATTTGATGGTCAACAGAAACTGGTCATATAAGTGATGTAACGTTAACCTGAAATGCACCGGTGACTGTGCGTTTATTTGCACTGTGTATGTTTTCAGATATTTATAACGCAAGCGTCATGCATGTTTGTCACTCCGCAATGCATTGCTATTTTTGCTTAAATATTAGCTCAGCATGTTTTAGATGCATCTAGCAAATAATCGCGGGATAATGGGGGTGTTTAACGCGCGTTGGTCTTGCATGCATATTCGTTTGTATCTGCAGATGCATTGGATTGAACGCCAGATTTGGTAGGGAATTAGTGTTTTTAGGCGGGCAGTGCATGAATGCATTGAATGAAGGGGGTTGGGGGTAAAGCATCAAGTCGGGGGTCTTCCCTGCTGATTTACTGGAAACCCCTGTAGGCTCTGAGAATATTCTTTGGTCCTTAATAATTCATGCATAAGTGATATTGAGCCTCTGGGGCACCTGCTGATGTGACATAATAAAAGCCTAGATTAGGCTTGTTTTGGTCTGTAGAGGGTGATTAGGAAGAAGTGGACAATGCATTAACAGAACTCAATGAGAACCTGTTAAGAGCACAAACTCCTAAGATCAGCAGGAGTGTTGAAGAGCAGATGATGACGTAATCGTCTGGTCCTCCAACCAATTGTGACAGCCGATTTGCAAGCCTGCTTCTAATGTCACATTTTTATTCACTGGCAGGTTGTATAATAACTAGAAATCTACTGATATAATGTTGTTGTTTTTTACATCCAGTACTGATTTTCTTCTATTAACCAGTGTGCAGAATTAATTTTTTATTGTAGTCATTAGATTGCAAAACATAAATATAATGAAAATTGTGAAATTATTTAGGTATATAATATATTCAATTCAATAAATTCCGATAATTATTATTAGTTATGCCATGACATACTGCACGCAGTTGTTTCGCAATCTAAGGGGTTGCGTATTTATTTTTATCTCTTTGTTTTGGGCTGTGATTCGGGCTGTTATGCCTAAAATGCTTTGCATTTCTCACTTGAGAATGAATGGCTATTATGTAAGGAGTCATTTATGTAAACAATCCATTAAATAAGTGGGTTACTTTACCTGTGAACCGCTATTTACTGTTGAATGCACAGTGGTGTAATGGCATTGAAGGGTGCTTTATTTTTGGAGACACAAATGATGCAGTATATGAGTTGACCAGCTATTTAAAGACTGATTATCAGTCTGTCTTTCTTAACACCATTTTAAAGGAATAGTTCACACAAAAATGAAAATTTGCTGATATTTTACTAATCCTCAAGCCTTGCAGTGAGTTGAGATGAAATGAAATTTAACATTACATCACTTGCTCGCCCTGTGGATCCTCTGCAGTGAATGGGTGCCGTCAGAATGAGAGTCCAAACAGCTGATAAAAACATCACAATAATCCACACAACTCCAATCCATCAATTCACATCTGGTGAAGTGAAAAAGTGTGTTTGTAATAAAACATAATTCATCTTAAGATTTTTTTAACTTAAAGCTAACGAGTCCTCTATCCATAATATTGCTTTTTTCTGTGTACTATTCCATTAAAGCATATTGGCTTAGCAATAGATAGATGTGTTCATTAAAAAAAATGCAGTTTGTAATGCTAACATGTAAGCTTGTCCATATGGATATTCTAAGATTTAAAGAGAAGGATCGTAATTGCCTGTATTTGGTCTGGAATTTCGATCAGTTTATATGTAAAGATCAGTTTTGTAGCTCTATCCTGTGAAGTAGTGCATAGACGATCTCATGCTGTGCTTTCATTGTCAGCTTTAATAGCGCAGTCATTGGGGATTGCAGTGTGTTTACAGATCATATTTGGAGATCCAGGGCAGATATAAAAAGTGCCTTGTTATACATTAAATAAATAAGCAAGTGTATTTAACTTGCTTAGTAATTTATTGCATGCATAATTTATCAGCTTGGGATTCTGAGATTGTAGTAGGGATTGTTTTGCATGTATCTGCAATGTGGCGTCTTCCTGTTTTGCATAACTTTTCATGTTAGAATATGTGTGCATAGTAGGGCTGCACGATATTGGAAAAAACTCGCATTGCGATATTTTATTTTTCTGCGATTTTATGTATTGCGATATGAAAAAAAAAATCACCACATGACTTGAATAGTTTATTTGGACAAAAATATTGATTGGGGTGATTTTGTATAAATCAGCATAGGAAATAAACAAATTACAAGCATAGATAAATATAACGGAACAAAGATACAAATGAAATAAGCAGTGCTTTATATTTTTCAGGTAAGTCTAACAGTATTCAGGTACAGAAATTGAATAATCAAATGTAAAATAAAACTGCATAGTCTTCACTGTCTAAATTAAATCTAATAAATCTGTTAAAGCTACAAAAGGGATTTTTCTTTGTGTTTTGTTGTTTGATTAACGTTCATAACACAGAAAGACTCAGGAACATTAAACTGCTGTAAACCAATATAGGCTACTGTTACACACATCAATTTTCTTTCTCAATTGTTTCCCTTCACCTAAGCCATAAGCGACTGCGTTTACAAGGATACTTGCAGAACACAGTATTTCAGGCACAAATAGACGCAGAAGTGAACAGAATTCAGTGTTCACGCGCATCTGCATGGTTCTCACCGTGTCTACACCGGACACGAGTGGCGCGATGCAACAAAATACAATGAACTCATTATCAGTGATGCTGTCTACACTGGATGCGGCACGGCACGACAAATCCCCGACAGTAAACTGATGAAAACCCCCGATAGAAAACAATCAGTATAAATATAACGATCAGCAGCCTATACTAAACATCGCACATCCTGCGATGTGACTATCGCGGATGCGCACATCGCGATATCGATGCTGAAACGATATATCGTGCAGCCCTAGTGCATAGTCTTCATGAAGTCGACATGCTGCCTTTAGCTCTCTCTGTTTAGGATAAATTGCTTGTAATGTTGCTCATTGTAATTCACTTTGGATAAAGCACATATCAAGTGATTAAATGTAAATAAAACATTGCTTTTTATACAGTAATTAAAAAGATACAAGATAACATGTTTAAAAAATGACAATACGTGATCTTTCATAAGATTACTTGAGCTTTTAGGAAGGGTGCATCAGGCAATTGACTGTTGAAATGAATTTGATTCTGAAATACAAAAACCAAGCTTTTCACCCATCGAATATGTGTTTTTAAGAAAATGGAGGATCAAAGGGATGCATGCCATCATTTCCTGTATCTGCATCTGCGTCTTGTCCACCAAAAACAGTTTCATTGGGCCTGACTGTCCCCACCCTACTGATGTCTTGTGATTCCATTCCCATGTGTCTCACACTGGCTAAGATTGACTCTGTGAAGTCCACTTTGGCAAGAGTTTGCATGGCTGAAAGGACATAAAAAAAGATTGTGAAGTTGTGTTGTTGCTAGGGATAAACCTATAATTGGTTTGGCTGACATTTTTAAATTGATATTTATGCTTTTGTTCTTTAATATAGGGTTTCCCACTACATTTAGACATAATTGTGATGCACTAGAATGCGCTTCTGGGTTTCTGATTCCAGAACACTTTTAATTTTAGGCAACATTAAATTAAGAGTTAATGTATAATACTAATAAAACTGGTAACATTCATAATTTGTTACAAATTCACGTTATTAGTCAAGTAAAGAATATTGTTCATGTTCAGAGGTAAGTGCTGAATAATTGAGTTATTAGTGCATCTAAAAGCAGAAAATTATGAAATATTCTACTTGTGATTATCAGGCGGTTAAACATAATAATCGCTGAACATTTATGCATTTGGCAGATGCTTTTATCCAAAGTGACTTGCATTGCATTGATTATCAGCTGGCAATCGAACCAATGACTTGGGAATTGTTAGTAGCACCATGCTCTACTGTTTGAGCTACAGGAAGGCTTTACTGGAAGGTTTACTGTTGTCATAAAAAAAAATCAACATTAATCATGTCTAGTTTTTGTGCATCAAAACTGGATAAGTGTCCTAGAGGTTATACCTTCAAAGAGTAAACCTGCATTTTTTACTAAGAATGCATAGCTCAGGGTAAAGGTGATGTGAAATTGTAATCAAATCAGGTTTTCCCATGGTAGTATCTTTGCCTAACCTGATTGGCCCGTTCCCAGCAGGTGATAGTTCAGTGTCACTTGGGACATGGGAAAATATTTGAGGCTGCAGGCTTCTCATGGTTGAAGCAATTTAACTGAATGTGTAGTGACCATTTGCACTTGTTGACAGTAGTGTTGCACGGCATACTGGTACTAAAAAGGTTTTTGTTTTGTTGTGTTTGTTTCTTGCATCTGTGTTCTTATTAAAGGGGTCATATGATGCAATTTCAAGTTTTCCTTTGTCTTTGGACTGTTACAAGCTGTTCGTGCATATTCAAGATCCATAAATTAAAGTTGCAAAGAATAAAGTCTCAAACCCAAAGAGATATTCGGATGCACTTTATTTTACAGTACATGTACTTACAGTTAGGGCTGG